TGGTTTCGTCATTTGCTTGTTCCTGTGAGTTGTAAAATTCCCAACACATGTACAGAAAAGGAAAAATTTCTTAGCATTTGGATGTAGCATGCCGATCTTTTATCCTGACCTTGTACCTCAAGGTGACAATGAACCACCTATCTTATAGACTGAAAGTGTCATCATGTTGTAGACAAGTCTGTAAAGCTGAACAAATGATGTAAAAATTGTAGCGAACTTTGAAATAGACTCAAGGTACATGCAGTAGGAGACTTTTTGTCTGAAAGAATGACTGTGTGTGTGTGTGTGTTTGTGTGTGTGTGTGTGAGTGCGCGCAATTGTGTAGTGCATGTGATTTGTTCAATCAATCATTGTAAGGCAGAAATGTTGCTATATGATGCATTGCTTTGAAATGCTTCTAAGTCAAGATCAAATGCAGCTCTCATGAGTATTTAAATTAAAGAATAGTATTCCTATTCATGCTTTCACAAATTAATGATGTTTTTATTTGTACTCTTATAACTGAGTATTCACCGATTTTCTTCTTAAATACTAAAGTTGCCAATGTTCCAGCTTTCTTTTAAGTATATTTCTTAAGTGTAACTTATTTTTGTAAGATTTTATTTTGTCAGGTAGTTGTGAAGATGAACCAAACACCAAGAGAACCTGAAATTGTTGATGGTGTTTTATGTTGTATCTTTTTTAAATTTAATGCTCTGTTTAATATTTGCTTTATCTGTGGTCTCTTAACTAACTACAGCTACAGCACATTGGATTCAAGCCATCATTCCGATTGGAGAACTAGGACCTTTTACTTGTCGCTGTGTTTGCAAAATCCGAGTGTGCCTTATTTGTATGAAGTGAAATAGTAAGCAATTTCGAAAACTTGACTTACCTAACTTGAACCTAGTTCTCTTCTATCCAGTTATCTTCCGTCATTCTAAGACTAAATGTAAGATATTTGTGATTGAATATTCTGGGCCTCAATACTATCTCTGTGGCTTAAAGATTTTCTTTAAACACATTTTAGTTGTCACCCGATTCTAGACAATTGCAACCTAACTGTGTTTTGTTTCCTATGCAAGACTCTTTGTCCTTCTGCCTATCCATGTAATTTTTAAATGACTTGCCTAGTTAATAGAAATATGAACTAAATTTTTAGGTGAGAACATATTACCATCATATTTATTCAATTTTTCCTTGTGGATCAGTTGGTTTCATTCCATGTATCATTACATTTGACTTAAGAAGATGAATATTTTGGAAAATGCGAAAAATCTTGCTTGTTGCTGGACTTAAAGGCTTGCACTTATATTTATTGTCTCTAGTATTTTGGAAATAGATATTAAGGAGGTGCATTTAAAGGAGTATGTAAACCTCTGTATAGCAAAGTGCCATTTTGCTTGTATTTGTCCCGGCTTGATTGAAGCTAGGGCCTGTTATGTGATGTATACCTAATATTTATCTGAATTTTTTGTTCTTATGTATTATGTCTTTCGTTGTTTTGACTTCAAGGGAACAAGGTACATAAACAATTTCTTATCTTTCCCGTTAAACTTTGGAAGAGGCAATACTCATTCGTACTTCATTCTCAGCACACCTTCACTTACAATTTTAGGTCTTAATATATACAGGCAAAAACAAAATTTGGGATCCAAAATTTCTTGTGGCATTAGTTAGAGATCCACATAATGGTTTGAGAGTGATGTGCATTCAGGTTTGAATTTGTCTGATGATTCAACTTGTTCCCAGCCTTTACTTTGAAGTATCTACCTGAATTGGATTTAACAGAGTTTTCCTTATGAGAGAATTAAGGAAAAGAAAATGAATGTTTGAGACTTAAATTGGCTTTGTTGCTAATGTGGTTTCTTTAGCTTTTTCAACATTGGATTAGCTTTTCCTGATGTTGATCAATTCCTTTGCCTTGTGCCTTACCTCTATTTTTGATGTTAAAAATGTTTATTATGTTTTTCTCTTTTTATTTACCTATCCCCTTCCTTTTTTTCCCTATTTCTATTTGACATGTTGGCGACCAAAGATGTGGATGATAATCAATGTTTTTTTGTTGTTTTTTAAACGTAATAACACTGCCAGTAATTACAGTTTGCTGTGTTAAGTGAACGCCGGATATGACTGAAACTTCAACCTCTTGTGGGTATTTCTCTTGTTCTCCCATATAAGAAAGAAGGACTTACTGTCTATCCTGTAAAAGAAAGAATGCTTCTCTCTTCAAAATTGCAATTTCTGTCCATACACTCTGTATTTACTAAGTTATGTTTTTGCTGGATCTTTCATTAACTAAATTTTACCTCACAAAAATGGCTTACTATATGTGTTCCAGTCAAAGTCGTTTGCGTGTAATGCTTATTTTGTTCTGTCTGCCATCCGTATTGGTTATAAATTTTTCTTGATTTCGTGTCCCCTCTGTCTTTTTCCAGTTTCTTTAAGCACAGCTGTAAACTGAATTATATTTTTTAAAAATGTTTTCCCCATGTTTTTTTTCTTTTACTTTGCTTGCTTTCACTTTTTTACCTAGCGTTTGTTTATATGTGCTGTACATGTGCTCTTCATATGTGCTCTGCAACAGCTGTGGTTTCACCTTCGTTTCATTTTCTATTTTGTGAGTTCTTTCTGCAAATTATTTTTTTTTAAATAAAGACTTTCACCCAATTTGTGTCAATTTTATTGGAACTTTTCTCGAGGTAACTCAATTTTGAAACTTGAATCAAGCGTAAGCCTCTCGCTTCAGAGGTTGATGTTGATGATGGGGATGAGAACACGGGCCCTTCGAACGGCTACATTCGTATTTTGGCGCCGAAAAATGATAAGTCGTCCCCCAGTCGCTTACCAACTGTTACGCCGGGGAAGACAATTTTATGGCTGGTTTAATGGATGTAAAAGAACCACCTAGTCGAAAAGACAACATTTTTCTCATGCCTAATTTTGACTTTTCTCTAGAAATGAAGCTTAGTTCCATCGATAGAAAGTGACTAGAATCTGTGTAAGTGCGTTTTTTTATTGCAGTCGGTGTAGTGCCTACTCTTTTTCGGTAAACTTTAAAGATGGATGACGAATTTAGTTGTTGTGTACATTAAAATTGGCAGTAATATATCTTTATTGGTTGTGTTTTTCTAGTGTGCTAGTGTTTGGTCGCTACATGAAAGCCAGCGAGACTGTCACCACCTTGTAATATGCCCGGTAATTTCTCCACAAGTGAAGGGGTCTCAGCCGATGACTCATTGACCAGTGATGATGTTTTCATGGGAAATTCCCACAACGTAAATACCCTTCCAAGACTCGCAAGTTCGTCTCTGTTCCATACGGCTTGATGGTACGGTCGCTTATTTTATCCATTGCCGTTTTGATCTCCCCTTTGTTATGTTTTTCGGCAAGTTGTCAGTGGCTTTTAGGAGGAGAGAAACTTTTAGAGTTTGGTTATGGCATTAAGATCACACTTTAAAGTTATTTTCGAGTCCCCTGCTAGTCAATTTAGTCTTATAGATCTCTCAATATCAAAAATTTATCAGTAATTTATTTGTGATTGGAGATTTTTCCACCTCCCTCCCTCTTCTACTTGTTGTCACTTCGGCATACCCATAGCTTGTTCGTAGTATTTTAATGTGCTTTGTATACCTGTGCAAAAACACACTGATTTGACTTGATTTTTTTTTTTCAGGAATACTGTATCCAAAATCTTCTTTGCAAATCAGTTTCTGTGACTGTTTACCCTAAATTATAATGGAAGTAGGAATACGTACAGTACGAGGACCTGATTGGAAGTGGGGTGACCAGGATGAAGGCGAGGGTCATGTAGGGACAGTGGTTGAAGTTGGGCGAGCTGGAAGTCTAGCATCCCCTGATAAAACAGTTGTTGTGCAATGGGATGGAGGAATGCGCACAAACTACCGTGTGGGCTACGAGGGCTCTTTCGATCTGCGCATAATTGACAATGCTCCTGCTGGTAAATAAATTTCTATCAAGGAAACAAATTTATTCTCATTTTTAAGACATTCTACTTTATTTGGAATTCATGTTACTGATTCTTGACTTCTTAATAATTACAGGTGTGAAGCACCCAAATATTGTTTGTGATGGCTGCAATCAATGTGGAATAATGGGAATACATTGGAAGTGTGAGCAGTGTCCTGATTATGACCTGTGCACCGAGTGTTATATGTCTGACGTACATGACACCTCGCATATGTTCCAGAGATTTGAAAATGCCTCCTCCATTGGGTAAAATAATTACAACAATAGCTTGGTTAAATGAATATAAATGAATAATATTTACTTGTAGACAGTCCCAAGACTCCTCCTTAGGTTTTTAAGTTTGACTAATGTGAAATCTCACGATTGCCTTTTTACAGTGTTCTTGTTGGTCCGAGGAAAGAAGAAACTAAGGTACGGCTTGAAGGGATTTTCATAGGTGCCAAAGTTGTACGAGGTTATGATTGGGACTGGGGAAACCAAGATGGTGGAGAAGGTACTGTATTTAAAAAGAAATTTTATCTAACTTATGTTTTGTTACAATTTTACCTTTGTACCAGTGCATGATTTTGCTAATTTGCATTTTGTCTTTCAACAGGTCGCACTGGTAAGGTCACTGACATACGTGGATGGGACAATGAATCAGGGAGATCTGTTGCAAATGTGACTTGGACTAAAGGTTCTACAAATGTTTATCGCTTGGGTCACAAGGGCAAAGTGGATTTGAGATGTGTTAAACCAGCGTTTGGAGGTTTCTACTACCGAGAGCATCTACCTATACTGGGTTTGTTGTCATATGAAATTCCCTTGTTTTTTTTATTTTTTTTTATTTTTTTAAATAATTTTAAAACAGCCACCATTTTATCTAAAATTAAACACAAAATTCCAATTTCATAGGACAAGGACTTGAACACGTTTTAGTTGGAGCTCTAGCCAACAGGCTTTTGGGTGCTCCTTCACCTCTAACATTTAGTGTTGGGGACAAAGTGAAAGTTAACAAAGATGTTGAGACACTGAAAACTATGCAAGAAGGACATGGTGGATGGAATCCTAGAATGGCCCAAGTATGTTACTTTGCGTTACATTTTAATAAAATGATGGTGCTTTTAAGAGTTTTTCTCAAGTAATATGTGTGTTCCGACAGTACATTGGAAAGGTTGGAACAGTACATCGAGTAACAGAAAGAGGAGATATTCGAGTTCAATATGAGGGATGTAATCATCGATGGACTTTTAACCCAGAAGCTTTGACAAAACGGAATTGCTTTTCTGTAGGTGATTGTGTACGTGTTATTCATGACACAGATAAAGTCAAAGAATACCAGAAGGGACATGGTGAATGGATTGAAGTTATGAAAAGTGTAAGCATCCTTAGCACTTTTATATAATTAAGTAATAGTTTGGAACCTTTTCACTGCTTCTGTTCTCTATGCCTCAGGCTTTAGGTAAAGTGGGCAAGGTTGTGAAGATATACTCTGATGGAGATCTTAGAGTGTCCATAGCTGGTCAGACATGGACTTTAAATCCATTAAGTGTCCAACTTGTTCCTCAGAATTCAGTAGACCAAGATAATACAAATACTGAGTTATCAAGAGAAGATCGTGACAGTACGTCTCATCTTACTTTGCTAAATGCTGCTTCAGCTGCTTCATTTGACATCAATTGTGTCTACCTTTATGTCTCTTTCTAAGTTTTGCATTGAATTATGACTTGTTTATTTTTTGTTATTTTTAGATCCATTGACATCTCTCCTGTCAACTTTGAAAGATCCTTGTAGTCAGGAAGATGGCACATTAGATGTCGTAAGAGAGGCTGCTCAGGGCCATTTAGCGGCTGTTCAAGACTATCTGCTGAAACACCCCGAAAAAGTATAAGAGCTGAAAATTTTGACTGGTATTTTTAAAAATGTCCTATTTGCATTATCTCTATGGTTATTGCACAATGTTTCTTGTGTTTAATTATAGGTTGACTGCAAATCAAAATGTCGAACTTGTTTGCAAGTAGCCTCACATCAAGGACATGCACAGATGGTACAGCTTTTGTTAATGCTTGGGGCTTCATTATCGTTGACAGATGACGATGGAGATACTGCTCTTCATTATGCTGCTTTTGGGTAATTTTTTTATTCCCCCATTTATAATGTTGATTGAGATGACATTAATCATTTGTCTTAACTTTTCTTTTCAAATACCAGTAATCAGCCAGAGATTATGGATTTGTTACTTAAGGCAGGATCAGATCGTGATGCAACAAATAAAGGTTCATGCACTGCATTGCATGTCGCTATTAACAAACAGCATGTCAACTGTGTTCGAGTGTTACTTAAGTGGAAGAGTAATGCTAATATTCAGGTAGGAGGGTTTTGGAATTAACTGTCTTGTGAAAAACCTCTTTTAAGTAAAGCTTCACTTTGACAATTTTCTGATCAATTACGTCTTTTAGGATTCCTACGGTGATACTGCTCTTCATGATGCAATCAGCAAGGAAAATTTAGAAATAACAGAAATGCTCTGTAATGTTCCTGGGCTTGACTTCACTCTTAAAAATAAGCGTGGATTTAATGTATTGCACCATGCTGCTTTGAAAGGCAACAGCTTGTAAGTACGGTACTCTACTATGTATTGCAGCTTAAATTTATTTTGTGTATTGAAAATTAAGCACTTGAGTGTTATGTTATCAAATGTAAATGTTCTTCTATTTATTTAGAGCTACAGAAAAACTCCTGTTACGTTCTCGACAACTTGTTGACGTTAAGAAGGATGATGGCTTTGCTGCATTACATTTAGCCTGTCTCAATGGGCATCGTGCAGTTGCAGAAACTCTTCTTGTTCAAGGACAGGCTGAGGTAGATTTGAGGAACAATAGACGGCAGACACCATTGATTTTAGCTGTTTGTCAAGTGAGTCAAATCCTTTAAGTCCTTCCCTGGATTGACATCAAAACTTGAAACTGATAACCAATTCATTATTTGTAGGGGCATTGCTCTTTAGTGGAGCTTTGTGTATCTCTAAGAGCTGATATTCATGCAGAAGATGGGGATGGTGATACAGCACTTCACCTGGCTCTTAAGAAGCGGTCTAGTATTGCTGTGTCGGAAGTAAATGAACTAGAAGCTCCTACTATTTATGGGGTAATGGCTCCCAGCATGAACTTATGAATTTCCTGTTAAATAGTCTTGCCAATTCGAAATTACCTTATTAAACTATTACAGATCTATTCAATGCTTGTTGGGCGAGCTGGTGTGCAGCATCCAGTTGCTATTGCTGTGGCTTGTTATCTGATTCAAGAAGGATGCTCTCTGGATAAGCAAAATAAGAAAGGAAAAACTCCTCTTGATTTGGTGAATGATCAAACACTGCAGGAAGTTCTTAAGAAATATGTTACACAAAGAAGGTAAGATTTTTAGCTAGACCTCAATGACCACTGTGGTCATTGTAAAATGCAATCATCATATTTTGTTTGCAGTTTTTCGTCAGAAGTTGCTGCTGGTGTTGGCTCTGGGAGTGGGGAGAGAGCCTCTCCTCTTTTGCAATTGGACATTTTTGGAAATTATCCTCATTCAAGTACTTTACCAAGTGGATCATCTGATCCTGAAGCTGATCAAAAGCCACAATCAACTCCTTCTAGATCCCAACGCCAAAGTCGTGCCAGTGCCAGCAGTCATTCTAATCCATCCACCTCCTCGGATCCTGATGTAGTTGAGCGACCCATTCCTGTTGAATGCATGGTTTGCTCTGAACTTGCTGATCAAAATGTCAAATTTGAACCCTGTATGCATAGAATTGCTTGTGAAGACTGTTCCTCCAGAATGAAAAAATGTCTGAAGTGTGGACAAAACATTACCAGAAGATTAACCCAAGGTACATCAATAGGAGGTGATAAACTAATTTATCAATTAAAAAATCTAATTAAATTTGTGTTTTTCCAGATGGCAGAATAATTGCTTGTAAATCTCGACAACCTAGCGCAGAGAGGTTGCGCTACCTAGAAAGCAAAATAGCTGAAATTGAAGAAGCTCATTGCTGTTCAATTTGTATGGAGAGGCGACGTAATGTTGTTTTTCTGTGTGGCCATAGTGCCTGTGACAAGTGTTCTCATACGTTGAAAATATGTCACATGTGCCGAAAAACCATAACCAAAAAAATCAATATTTATTGAACTGTTGGGTTGAGATCCATACCAGCTTTGAAGACTTTTTATGTATATTTATAGTTAATTGGGAATGGAGTTTCACTGGGAGTGCAGCCTCAATATTTGCATGGTATTTTCTACCTTAGTTGTTGTTCAGCCTCAGAGAATTGTCTTTTAGAACATATATATATATTTTTTGTACACATTATACTTTGATTTTGTATTTGCGGCCAACAATGACCTGTGCCAACAGTTTTGTTATTTTTATATTTGCTCTCTCTTTTGCCAATGAGCCCAGTGAATTTGTGCTGACTTCATTTAATGAATTAAAAATGTAAGCTTCAGTTCAATGTTATGTGGCCCATGAACTGCAAAGATGAATGTCTCCAAGACATTTTCTTTGGAAAGTGAATATTCTGAGCAAGAGATGGATGCAACCTTAATGCTGAGACTTTCCTCATTATTGGTTATTGTCTACCCACCCACTAGTTTTGCCAAGGATAAGCTATGAATTGGATTGAGCATCACAAACCAAAACAGGAGATAGTCTTAGGTTGTTGCTGTAGCTTCTATGTTTTAACTGTGAATTGTGGTATTATTTCATGATTTATCATTCATTTAGGCATGATCAATGAATTATTTCTGTGCTGCCACGTGTTTGGATATTTTATTTTTGCTGTTTATGCAGATTCTTCTATGAAAAGGATCTCTAATGAAATCTCACACTTTATCTCGATTTTGTAGTGCATATTCTTTTTCTCTCACATGTTGCTTGATTGTTTGTTGTACTTTATCCATGTTCCATTCCCCTAATTTGCTTCTCTATTTAAGCATTTTGGAAAATTTATTCTCAATTGTGATGTGATTTTATTTTGTGTATATGTTAACTAACTTCTATCTAGGTATAATTTTAATTTGATGCATATGATTGACACAGCATGAGTTATTTTTCAGGCTGCCCAGCAACACATTGAATGCAAGTTGTCTACCATGTCATAGCGTCTGGTTATCATTACATTTGTAGACAATGTGACCTTTTAAATGTCTCTCCAGAAACTGGTCCCTAGAGAGGTTTAGCATTCTGTGATACTAATGATTGAGCAAATCATTGATTTAATTATTTTTTGACTTGCTAGAAAAATATTTCTTTGTACTGTTAGCTAAATTTTACAACCAAGGCATTACAGTAACTGTTGGAATTCTCATGCAAAATCTTACGCATTCTAGTCTGTTCAAAGTATCCGGTTCAGTGACTGGCCAATACAGACTGGTTGACACACTTGTTAGTACACCAGTCTGCAGCTCATCTTTCGGAATGTTCAAATTTAAGTTAACTAGTCTTCCTTGTATGTAAATAAAATTAACTAGTCTTCCTTGTATGTAAATAAAATCTTGAGCCTTAAATTTGTCTTTGAATAATGGGTTAAAAACATTACACGTTTTAAAAAGAATGTATCAATGCTGGGGTATTTAATGTTTTATATCAAGAATGCTTACAGTAAGGAATGAAAACAATTGCAGTGCACAAAACTCAATGAGGGAATAAATTAAAATATTTTGCAAAAGGTAACATGACACAGATTAAGGGGGGGCCAACAATGCAATTCCGCAATTATAAGACTTGGTGGGTTTTGATCACTTGTTTCAAATGTAAAGAACTTAACTATCACCACTCTTAAGGGACTACTATGGCTTACATTTATAAAACTGAGCCTAGTATCAAAGTTTATGCAAAAGTGTAAGAAATACATACTTTGTACATAATGATCCACATACAAATTTAATAGGATGGTAGGGAAGGAAAAAGCAAACACAGAGGTGGGTACTAAAGTAAAACATTTAAAACATACATGACATAACACCAACACATGTTCCATGGCCTTTGATAAGTGACAACATATATTGCTACCATGTACACATTCCTCCCTGTCCTGCATAGCTAATATCACCATACAAGAGCAATGGCAGCCAAACTTTTAAAGACTCAAACACAAAAGAACTGAATCATTCATAAGCTAATAATAAAAAAGCAGCATGTAAGAAATGTTGAAATATTGGCTACTATTGCTTGGGATATACCAGCACAAGGAAACAGCTGGTGGTACAAGGGTTTCATTTCAGAGATAGCAATCGTTTCAGATGGTCCATCTAAAGCGAAAAATTGTCAGCCTTCTTTGCATTAGTGTTTTGATTATAGGTGACACTTCAGTTACACAAGGTCCGGTAACTCCTCATCGTCAGAGTCTGGCCCCTCTTCATCTGAGGGAACTAGGTCATTGAAGTCAGGCTTGGCACCTCCTCCCATTCCTCCGAGACCACCCATCTGTCTCATCATCTAGAAATAAAAAAAGGCAACATATTAAAACCAATACATAAACTCTTCCAGGTGAATGAGAGATGAAGTACAAACCTCTTCTAAGTCCTCTCCACCGCCTCCGCCTACATTTAATTCGTCTTCACTGTCATCCTCATCTTTCCATTTGTTGAAGTCAACCTTTAGCCAGTGGTACTTCTTTTTATCTTTAAGAAGATATGTCCAGTAAGGGCCTTCCTCCTTCTTCTTGAGGATTAGTTCGATGTTACGGTCCCTAATGAACTTGACTGATTTCTGTAAAGAACATGATAAAAATTAGTCAAAAAGAAAACAACCGGTACAAAACTATAACATTGACAACATACCTCAGGGTCAATTTCTTTAAAGAGAGGTATAGTGATTTCATATTTCTTCTTTTCTGTACCACCAGTGCCCTTGAATACAATTTTGTCTGCTTCTATTTGAATGTCAGGGTTTTTGCAGTCCTCCACACATAGTGTGACGAAGACCACATGTGTTCTTTGCGCCCACTGAACAGGGGGAGGAATTGCTCTGCCAAACAAACAAAATGATTGGAGTTAGTCAGGGTTTACATATTTGAAGCCTTATATAGGGGATGAAAACGTAACAGCATCTCATGCCGACATTGTAAGGCTTCTCCCCAAGAGTTTGTTGCCATGACAACAATACCCATAAGTTGATACGATAGGAGAACCGAATGAGGTAAACAAAACTAAATATATAGATTCCTAACGGCAGACGAACTAAAGGCTAAAACAGGTCCCACCCATTCGCCGACGAAGGAAAAGCCCACAACAATTACAGGACCAAGATCCGGCTAGCCACCCCGGTACAGTCCCTAACAAACCCAGCCACAGAGTCTGGAACTGTCTCAGCATCAGCGCGCCTCCGCCTAGGCACCGAAATCTAATCCGGCCTCGTCTCATGGTCAAGGAAATGTGTGACGATGCGAGAGGCACGACAAGAGAGCCGGGGGAGATGACAATGGTCGCTGAGCGCACAGCGCACAGAGCACGCACATGGCTCGGCGGCGAGGCGAAGGCTAGGTCCGAACGCCGCACGAGGCGCATCGACAGACGCACGTACAGAGCGACATGTAAAGGCGAGCCGGGCCCAAATCGGGCCGAGCGCGAGCCGTCATCATATGCCGACATCTCTTTCTACAATGCATTTATTAGAAAGAAAACGCCGAACACATTTCCCGGCAGCAAAGATGGCGGAGCCGCGGCGTACGGGGGCAGGGCTGCGGCAGGCCGTGCCTCCCACACATCGGCCGGGCCTACCGCATCATTTCCATCCTCCACGCGCAATGCACCGGATTACGGAGACAGAAAGGGGCGCCGCTCTTGTCAATGTACAGGGCCAGGGATTCACAATTTATCAGGAGAGACTACTTACAATTCGTCGCCGGACATGGTGCACTTCTGTGAGAACAACGAGTAAACAAATGAAAAGGTCCCGTCTCGGCGGGGAAGGAGGGAGAAATGCGCACGGTCACGATCGATTTTTCAAAAAACAATTGCGAAGCCTTGTAGGAAAGTGAGAGTTGTTGTCAAGGTTGCCCCCCGGTTCTTTGGTATTTTGCTCAAACAGGGATGAATGTCACTTTGATGTAAAGAGTTAAGCTGATTCAACGTTTTTTTTAAAAAGAGTCGAATTGTACGACTTTTATTAAAATCTTTCTGCTCACAGAGAAAAAAATCCTTGTTTGCGTCTGTCATGCTGGCTACATTGTGAGATTGCCCGGATCATTTGAATGGAGCTGATTATAGCCTCACAGAATAAATGTTCTCTTATCTCTGCTGAAAGATGATTTTAGACGATGGAGATGTCAGCATTCTGCTGGTTGAAGTTCGAAAATTGGTGCATGATAGCAACTTTTACTGAGCTCTCAACTCATCGCGAAGGAACAAAAGGTAAAATTTAAAGGGGGAGAGATGTTGTATGGTCGATTTTGGGTATTCGTGCAACCCAAAACTGGAGTTAAAATTTCCTTGTCTCCTGATAAAAAACGTCAAAATTTTGATAAAATTCACCAAAATTTCTGCTGTTTTTCAAATTATGAAACGAAAGGAAGAACTTTCCACTCCATCGTTTGCAGAATGCTTGTTTTCAACATTCAATGTTGGTAAGAGAATCCCTAGAGCGGTGTGTGCAAAATTCCCGCCATCTGTGTGTGTACTGAGTACTGAGTTGCCTGTTGTTTCTTACATGTCTTTTGAGATACTTTATTTGAGTGTGCAAGTAAGTGAATTGTTTAAATATCTACTCTTCATCTATATGTTAAGTTCATTTCAACATACCAGCACTTCTACATTCATATACCTTTTTGCTTGACGTGCATACGACATGGTTGAGGTTCATGTCCGGCTCGTCAACAATTCATTCATTACAATCGTCATTATTGAGAGTGAAAATCAAATTTAAATAGACATTTTGTTGTGTTGTTAGTAAATTCCGTTAACAATTGCCAGTGCATAGGTTGTTTTTTAATCACATTGCAGCTTACGGCTGTTTTCAAATCTCAGGTTAACTTTAGGTTGTAGATGATTAAAAATTTGTTTCTGGACAATATTACTTACTAGCAGCATGAATTCTTTTATTGTAATTTTTGTTTCGTTTTCCAACCTCAGAATATACTGTCATGTGTCATGAGCTGTCTGAGCTGAGCTGGGAATCAGAAACATTTTGGTGACGATTTTATTATTGGTTTGATGTTTTTCTGTTTGCAGGTAATGCCATGAAGGGTGTGATTGGTGACTATTTTGGCCAAAGCCCCATAGGAAATGGAAATGCTGCAACTGAAGAAACTGCTGTTCATGACAATGCAGTAAGTGATGGAAAAGAAAACAAGAAAGCAAAGAGAAAGATGTCAAACAGTAAATTGCCCAAAGGGAAACCTAAGACCTCCACGAAAAAGGGTTCCCCACATGTGAATAAAGTCTCTAACAATAAATCATCGAGCACGAAGAAGCATAAACTGGAGAATACCGCTCCTGTAAATACCAAGGATGAAGATGGTGGAGAGAGTCCTGTACTTCCTAATTTTTCTTTAAGAATAAGAATGAAGTCGAAAGATCAAGAAGAAGACAAAGATAACTTTATTGACGATCTCAGTTCACCTGACCACATTGAAAGCAAATGCAAGGATTTAAAAAGTCCCAAGGGTTTGCTGAAATATTTAGTATCCCCTAAAAATTCACCAGCAGTTGGGAAGGATGGCAGTTCTGCCACGCAATCAAAAGCAATAAGAGATATTACAGATTACTTCAGCTCGCCAAAAGGAACCAGTTCCAAAACAATTTCAGGATCCCTTGCTGTGGAGGAGAGGAACAAAGTGGATCAAAAAACAGCTGATAATACAAAAAATTCTACTACTAACGCTCCTTTAGGGAAAAAGGCAATTAATGGTAAGGAAGAAACAGCAAAGTCAAGATCCACTAAAAAGTCGAAGGGCAACGCTGTGTCTTGTTCAAAAAAGAATGAAACCGAAGATTCAAGTGACAAAATGGAGGTTGTTAAACCTTCAAGTCTGACTGCCAAAAATACTAGTAAGCCAAAGGCTAAGTCAGCCAAAAGATCATTATCTCTAACCAAAAAAGAAACTGTTCAAAGAGCTGAAGAATCTCCTGTCTGCCCTGAAGGAGCAAGTCTGCCAGATTCCAAACCTCAAGAATCATCAGTGGCCAAATCCATGAACAGCGCCTTTCAAGCAATTATGTCCAAGTCTTCATTAAACAGGACAGACTTGCCTCAAACAGTTCCTGACATGTTTTCTAAAAAGCGTAAGAGAGAAAATGATGATGACATTAATGCAGACAAACCTTGTAAAACTGTGAAGGAGGACTCCCCTGTTAGAGTTAAAAAAAGGTATAGCAACTCAAATCAAATAGAATCCGATTCTGACAATGATGTTTCAAGCACTGCCAATATCAAATCGGGTGAAGAACTGTCAAATATTCCTCAAATTGATAACCATGTTGAAACTGAAGATTGTCCTCTAAAATCTGAGGACTCAAAAAGAAACAGTTTGATGAGTTATTTTTCTAAAGTCACCAAAGAAGAAGCTTTGGCTAAAGAAGATAAAATAGAAATGAAAGTTCAAGCCATGGTACACTCTCCTCCAACAACACCTTCCAAAAAAACTAAGCGGAGAAGTGTCAACAGTCTTCCTGGTGGTGCTCTTTCGTTCAGCAAGAAGAAGATAAATGTTAAGGCCAAGTTAAAAGAAAACATCAATGCGATTGATGTAATGGATGTAGAAGAACCTAAAATGATAGATGTCAAAAATAAAGACTCTTCACGTGTAACAAGTAAGAAGCAGACAAGCCCTAGTTCTAAATCAATAAAACATTCTATGAAAAGTCTAACATCATCCCTCAAAACTGATGAGCCATCATCTTCGAAAGAAGATACTTCTAAATCTGTGAAGAAATCTTTATCAAGAGGAAAAGGGAAACAAGAAATTAAAACCAAGCTGGAGTCGGATATAGACTCTGCAAAGCCAATGGGAAATACTGTCGTAGATGAAGAATGTCTTGCTGTGCCTTTACCAGCTGTAGATGCAGCTACAATTGAGAATCCTCAAACTCCCTCTGATTCTAAAACACTGTGGAAGATGAGAGTATGCCTTACACCAATATCAATGCCATCCAGTCAGGGGACTATGCTGGGTGAGTGTAATTCTGATTGTAGGTCAGTTGTTGTTTTAAATACAATGTATTAATTTTTTTCTGTTCCATGTTCTCTTTTGAAAGAAGAGGAGAGTGACACTGAAGAGATTTTCTTACAACGGAAAGATAAAAAGCGGAAGCTCAGTAAACAATCTGTATCTGAGAAAACAGTGGGCAAAGACGAGGAGGTTTTTCTGGAAGATAAGAGCCAATCACCAGATGTTGTATTTGAGAAGGAAACAAGTATGCAACCTTAGTTAAATCAGCTCTATAATGTTATTTATTGATTATGAAAATGATTCTTAATCTGTATTGTTTCAGAGCAAAGTCCCAAAATCGCTCCATTGTTCACTCGTAAGGCAGTTAGTCAAGCTCGACAACAATTTTTACAAAGTGGAGTTCCGGATCAAGTTAAACGCAATCTTGAAACTCAGCGCAGGTATTTATGTTCCATGTTATATCAAAATTGCTTGCTTGCAATATCGAAATTCCTACATTTTGGTGATCCCCTTTTGTTTCTATGGTTTAGTTGTGAAGAACAAGAAACTGAGTTATTTCCAAGGGAAAGCCACATTCAACAAAGAGATAATGAAGACTGGTCCTGGAATCTTCCTGATGTGGAACTTCCCATTAAAGCTGATTGCTTTGAGGATATACCACAGATTTCAAGCAAATTTTCATTAAGTGACGTTACTGGGTGTTCTGATATAATTGAAGAACTCAAACATGTGGTAACAGCAAGCTGCAAAGGCCCTGTTATGCGCCCTATGTTTGGTTTTCCTTTGGACATCATGAAGCCAATACTGAGACTTATAAAACTAGGATCCCCTGAACTTAAAGTTGTAAATACCTTCAAAGTTTTGAGATCCAAACTAAGAGAAGAAGAGTTTGCAAAAGCTGCAGCACTTTCAGAAATGCCAGAAATGGAGAAACCTAAAAGAAAATCTTCTAACAGGTTTGTTTGGGTAATGAAGTTTTAGTTTGAGTGAAAGGATTCAGGAGTCATTATTTATAGACCTTTGTTTTCTAATCCAGAAAATCCATTAGTTCTAAACAAGCCCAACCTATGGCAACTTATCGTGCTCGGTGTTGGACAGAAAAGTACAAGCCATGTACTGCTAGTGATATTGTTGGCAATGGTGCAAGTATTCAGCAACTGAAGCGTTGGTTAGAATCATGGCGCAAGGCTAGTGAAGATTCTAGTAATAAGTCATCATTTTGCAAAGAAGAGGTGAAACGTAAAAAGAAGAGAAAAGGTATTTTATATGTTAATCCCTCCTCACATCCGTTGTTCATGATCAACCACATTTGCTTTGTTTTATGAAACTGCTATTACTTCTACTCATTTTCCTTCCTATTCTCTTAGAAGCAATTGACGATGATGATGATTTTGTTGTTTCGGACAACAGTTCTGATGCAACACAGAATAATTTTCCTGTTGGTGTAGCAGTCCTCTGTGGACCAAATGGAAGTGGTAAAACCAGTTCTGTTTATGCTCTTGCTAAAGACCTGGGATACAAAGTAAGTTCATTCACCCTAAATTTCTCTAATATTCGCTAGCTTACCTAAATATCTGTCTTTCTTTGTTTTGTTGATAGGTGTTGGAAGTAAATGCATCTGAGAAACGAAATGGCAAGCTTGTGCTTTCTAAATTATCTGAAGCAACCCAGTCTCATCAAGTTCAACAAGGGCCCACTGCAGAGCAAGGATTTGCAGCTCTATTTGCAAAAAACTCTGGCAAGAGTGAGTTATAATTTACCAAAAGATAACTCAATTATGTAAAGTACTTAGTTCTAAACACAGCACTAAAATTTCTAATGATTTTTTTATTACATTTTCTACCCTAAAGAAAAAATGCCTGTGAAAGTTCCTAAGTCTGGGAATGATGTGGAAGATGACAAAACTAAAAAGATGAGTCTCATTCTCTTTGAAGATGTAAGTGGTTTTCTTGACCCAGGCAATCTCTTGTATTTTGTGGCAACATTTGATTTTTTTCACATTTTTCCTATTTAGGTTGATATTGTGTTTGAGGAAGAAGATGAAGGATTCTTGTCAGCAATATCCACCCTTGTTTCTACTTCCAAGCGTCCTGTCATCCTCACCACTACAGATCCAGAAAGCGCCATGGTCCAGCGGTTTATGAACAGCTCAAGTGTGATTCTTCCATTTTCATGTCCTTCTAATTTAATAAGTGAGTTTATGGTCTTTTAAAACTTCTATTATTTTTTTGAATCTGTTAACATTTTTATTCTTAGACTGCTGTTGTTTCCTTTCTCAGCTATCTGGCTACAAATTGTCTCGCTGCTAGAGGGAGTGTATGTTGCCCCTGCCACTGTTAAGGATCTTGTTTCCTTATGCAAGGGAGATTTCAGAAGAGCTATTCTTCAAATGCAGTTGTGGGTTACTTCTGGTGGTAATAATTTGCCTATGCCCTCCATAACATATGCTCAACCTGGACGTAAATCAAAGAAGGTAATATGGTACATTATCAAATTCCTTACCTTTAAGTTTGCATGTTCATGCTAAAAAAAATTGTGTTACAGAGTTCTAAAAAAGATGAAAATGATGACATGAGTGACATGGAAGGTGATAGCAGTAATCACGATTCCGTTCCCTCTATTCCTCCTAATCCAGACTGCATATCTCCTATGCTTGGGAAAAATTATGCAAGTATTTTGGATTGACTTCAGATAAGCTTATTGTGAGAGTGATTAGAACGTTCTTTTCATGAGGAACTCTTTTCTAGATCTCTGAAAATACCAACAAAAGTGCACTGCAGGTGGATGTGCCATTTCCATTGGACGCTGGCTTATTTTGGTGGAATATTCCATCTGTGCTTTCTTTGAAACAATTAAAGCATGCTGAGTTGCCAGTCATCAAAGAAGACCCTTCTGCTCCACCTTTAGGTTTGTATGATGTCTTCTTTTGTTTGTACTTTCTCCTGAAATGTTTTTGCACAACTTTAATTACTTTACTTGTCTTGAATTTTGATTTTGCAGGTGCAGGTGTAAAACGAATGTTGGACGATTCCTTTATTGCTAGTTTTTGTAGTGATGATGCCAGCACCACAGACAGTGGTTTGAATGATGATTCTGATGCACAGTGCAGTCAAGCAACAAGTGCATCAAACAGTGAAGCAACAAGTGTTGGAGATGTTGGAGACTGTCAGGACACTCAAAACTGTTGCCTTGATCCAAGCCAGTCAAGTGTGGGTCCAGTTCCAATTCCTTACACTAGTGCTTGCAGCCAAGAGGAAATGGTAGCTTTGTACAAGCCTCTGATGGCTTTATCATTTATTGATATAATTGGCCATTCTTCTCAGCTTAACATCTCATCAAATATGGAACCAATTACAAGGTATGGGCATCTTCCACAAAACAAAGTTTGGAATTAGTTCCAAAATAAAATGCCTTTCAACACCTGCTATCTACTTTCTAACAAACCCCCTTTTTTTTTCTTTTTGTTAAAGATTTTGCAATCCAGTAATGAAAGATAGTCTTTCTTTGACTAAATTGGATGTGGACGGTCCTAACAGTGTACTCAATTCTACTGCTCAAGATATAAGTCACTGGCTAGCAGAACAAAGTCTAAATCAAGCTAAATCCTGTTTCTGCCCTGAAAACATCTGCCAATACAGTTATTGCCTTCCGGATGAGGATGAGTACAAGTGAGTTCAGTTTACTATTTTAATAGCGCATGAAATTAAAAACAAACAAACAAAATATTGTTTATTGTTTCTCAGGTGGAGAGCGGCTCATGTAGAGACTGAACAGGTCGCCCTTCAAGCTGTGCCCTTAAGTGCAGCACTTGAGCGACGGGCTCTATATATGGACTATATGCCCACTCTTAGAATATTCTGTCGACTAGAACGTAATAGGAGTTCTATTAATACTAAAAGACGGAATAGGTTTTTTCATTATCTTAAGACCCTAGGAGCTCATCCTGATGAAGCTCAGCTGGAGTTGCTTTGTCGTTCTATGTATGGCTGTTAATCCTTTGAACACTCTCAGGAGCCTTATTTTTGTGCAATAGGGTAATTGATAATGAGGGCAAAAGAACTTTAGGTTTGTAATTAGTTCAAATGAAGTTTGTATTTTAATTAAAAATAGTGCACCATGTGGGCTGGCACAATTTTTGTGAACATTGAATGATTTTGTTTGAATGCCATCTCATTATGTTATAGCAATCACCACTGGTCTGCTTAAGTGTTCTGCTTTGCCTTAAATTCTATTCATAGTTACCATGTTATTTGAAATTCCTGTTGGCTTGTGTGCTTAACAATGTGAGAACAGAAGTTCTGTTAAGTTTTGTTCCATGTTGTTTTAATGTTTGACTGCATTGGATTATATGTTTGTCTTGTCTTCAAGAAATTAATTCTTTGTTAATTTTATGGGAACTTTCAGTAAAGAATTTGATTTTTAATCCTTTCATCTATTTTATTCTGTTGCCCTAACCTAAGGAGTGTTAATGGGAAATTTCAGAAAATAATTCTATTTTTAAATGCTTCAATTTATTTTATTCTGTGGGCCTAACCAGTACAAATTTGGAGTGTTAGAATGAGGTTGCAATATAATTGGGGTAAAGTTAACCACTTGGCCATTGATACTGCTTCTATTTCCGCTGAGCTTGAGCTAGCACACGCTTCCAAGCCTCAGTTGTAAGTGTAGCTGCAGTAGCACTCTGAGTTGGAGTGGGAAGACTACGTGCAGATTGAATGAAACTAGTAAAAGCTGTGAAGAGTTGTGGGACCGCTCCATCTAGCTTAGACGATTTTGAAGTCCTTTCAGAGCCAGAGCCAACTGGATTAACTGCTAGCTCAATGCCTATTTTGTCGCCAGGTGATGGGGGTGCCTCAAGAATCCTGTGGCCTTCCAGTTTGAAACCATTCATGTGGCGGAGAGCCAATGCATGTTGAGATACTCCCGGCTTTCTTATTTTATGAACCATTTTACTGTGAGAGGGTTGCCTCAAAATTGCACCTTTCGTGGGGAGCTTTCTATTGTTAGTTGACACAGTGTGAGCAATCTCATTTTTTTCTGAATGTGTAGACTTTGAGTACACAAGAGAGGAACAATTATTATTGATATCATTTTTACATTTTGTCTTCTCATATTGATATGAATTTCTATTACCCCAATTTACCATTCCAGGCTTTTGAGGCATTTCAAATGGGTCTTCACATGGGTCTTGTGAAAATGCATTCAAATTGACATACGGCTCAACACTACATGTAGCATTCCACTTTAAAGTACTTGTTTCACTGATGTCATTAGTATTTTCTAATTCATCAACTACCACCATTGATTCTCGGATCAGACTTCCTAAATTAGTGAGAAAGCTTTCCGCCTCTCCTACAGCAGGAGGCAACTCTTGACAATTTTTAACATGTTTTAGCTTTGTTTGATCAGAATCATTTTCAAAGGAAGCTGAAACCTTCCCTGAGGGTTGGTCTTTATTGCTGACTGAATCTACGATTTCAGCGCAAGAATCCTTTCTCATTTTTCTCTCTTCATTGGTCTTTGAAGTCGGGCTAGCACTAACTGTAGAATTCTCACTAGCTGCATTCTTGTCCTGTTTACTTATCTGACAATTCTTCAATATATCATCTGGGTCAAAGGAAAGTGTTCCTTGTAAATGGTCTACAGCAGAGCCAGAGGATGCAGGTTTTTCAATGCACAAATGGGACTCAACAGGGGATGAATCCACAGCCGAAACATCATGGGCACAATCTTGATCCAAAGAAGATTCATCAGGCTCTTTCGAACTTGCACTACAGTGGGGTGATGATGTAAGACCTGAGTGTAACAATATCCTGCATGGACTTTTTGTGAGTCCAGGAGACAGAACTGTGACATTAGAATCTGCTGCAGGCAGTACTTCATTGTCTGGAAAAAGAGAACATTTATGAAGACCTGAAATGCGCTGTGGTTTAATTATGTTGCTAGACTCTTTTCAATTACCTTGTAGATTCATACAAATACCATCCACATCCTTGGGTTGAGATATGCCCAGGGACAAATCGGTTACAACTACCTCACAACTTTTTATGCTAGAATCTAAAATGCAGATAGGGTTGCCTGGGCTATTCTGACTATCAGGAACATCAGTACCTCCAATCCTATCTGCAAAGCACAGGACAGGAAAAGAAATTAGTATGACAGAGATGAAGAAGCTTCTCCCTCCACCCTCACTACTTACAACCAGTTTCCATCACCACATGCACAAAATTGTATCAGAAAGAAACTAAACCTCCAAGAGGAAGATCAATCATCATTTACACCTAAAATATTAATGTGAAAAGACTATTGGAAAGCCCAGGCAAATGTAAAAAGCGTCTACCGACACATTGTAAATTTCCATCAAATAGAAAGGGACTTACAATTTCCTGCAGAAATACTTTGTATTTGAAGTCATCATTAGTCTAAATACTATGAGAGGGAAAAATAATTTACTGGAACCAATACAGCACTATTGTAAATTTATTACAAAGTTACAACATTCTGGTTTAGACAGTCTTTCATATTTACTCTCAAACGCACACTTTAAATCAATAACATGTAATAATAAATTATTACTACCAAAAGTAGTATCAGTTAAACACTTCCTCGCAACAACTTGGTTGTACAGCAAACAAATGTCAGAACCAAGCAAATATTAGTAAACCAAAGCTCCTGAATTCATAGCATCTTGTTTCATTTTCCATGGAGCTTTCCAAAGACACCTCTTGCTTTAAATCTTCAGTAAAGGCCTGCATTATAACAGATTATCTGGGCAGTTCGATGGAAGGATCACAGGTCATCTTCATCAGAGTCCAATGCAGCACGCCTTCTATCAAACTAATAAAAAAAAAGTTAAAGCAGAGGTGTTTACATAAGTACCATTGGGAAAAGATAAAATTATAACTCCATCTTTACCTTCACTGCTGCACTTTTCTGAGAGCCAACTCTTTCTAGTAAGCTTATGAGCTCCTCTTCTCCCAGTTTAGACCGCAACTGACCAGATCGCGCCATTTGAACTAACATACTCTCCACCATACGTCCTTTTTCTGGTTTCCCGAGCATCAATGTGTTGACTGTAAATGATGTAAACAAACTTGTAAGGAATGAACAAGTCTTAGACCAAAAAGGTGACGAATTGAATTACCAGCATTCAGCGATCAAAGTGAAAAGCTCTCATAACTACTTGAAAAGGAATTCTCGAGGAACTCTACCTTCCTCAGCAGGTCAAGACTCGCTACTCATCATAGCTGGTCATAGTAAAGATTTGGAAGCCATTTGTGCATGAACTTACGTCTAGCTCTGGCAGGCTGATCCAAAATTTGAGATAAAATTGAATTTTTCATGTCATCGACTTCTTTTTTCCTCTCTTCAGCTGCCTTTTGCTGGTTTGGGTCGCCTTGTCCTGGAGGTCCACCCTACGAAAACAGTAACAATGAACATGGTGAACACCTGCTGGATATGGAAGATGAAGAAAGCCCGCCAAGGAGTTAAGACACAAATCAACCGCTTCACAATGTTCACCAAATCTTGAATGATCCACCACTAGACGCAAATATTGAACCATCGAAGGAAGACTTTCCGAATTTACGAAACTGTGCATGTTTACAACGACATCATAACCTAATTGTTGCAACCGGTGCCAGCCAATTCGCTATACATACCCCATATTGAGACTGTAACTGGGCGAGTCGCTGAGCCCGAATCTCCTCCAAATCAGCGTCTTCCATGATTAATAATTCGTAAAAAGTTAGCGCGTATAAGATAACAAAATTTCCCAACAAAGACAATGCGAGCGCATCGAAAAGTCTTCACACTATGAAATGATGAGAAATTAAGTGCGGCAGCGAGCGACTTTTATGAGAAATATGATGATCACAGCCTCCTAGAATAGAACTAGAGAACCTAGAAGTGAAAGAAAGGGAATGTTGCTGTTGTTGTTGTTGCTTGCTGTCTGATGATCGCAGTTGCAGTTGCAGTGCTGCAGTAGTCTATTGTAAACATCATCTACATCCATTGATGGTTTAGTGAGAAGATTTATCTAGGAAACTGTTCTGGTAAGTGAACAACCGACCTGATAAATTCTCAATGTTGACACAGTGTTTGACTGTCAATTACTTCCAAAGATTCCAGTGGTTTCTTGGTCTTATAAAATATGTCCATATGTATACATAACCTGCCTGTATCGATTCCTTTTGTTTATATTTTATCAAATCGAAACCAAAGAATCTAATCCAAATAAAAACCACAAATTTTTCGTGTCTGTGTAGTGTTTTGACTGGACAGTTCTACTTTTACCTCATATTGGTGGAAAAATTAATTCTTTGTCAGTTTATCTTAGTGGTTTATTGGTCAAGTGTTTTCCTATTGTCCTTTGGTTTTTACATTCCTCAGTAAACAATTACTGTGAATATAATTTTTCATTCACTCAGCTTTTGATTCCTTCAAGTTACTTTATTTTTCTTCCAGGGCTGTTATATACTGTGATGAGAGTTGGTCTGTTATGAAACTGATTCCATTTCTTCTTCGATCATCTTTGTATTGTGGAACTAGAAGACTCACTTGTTGCCCAGAATGAGTGCTCATGAAAAGGCAATGTCAGACACCATTGAAGAGGATAGCCAACGACTCTGTGAGCTGGAAGTATTAGCTGAAAATGGCAATGGACATATCCGTGATCCTTCCCCAGTAGAACAAAGATCAGAAACAAATGTTGTACACCATCATCGAGTGATAACTGAAACTCCTGAAAATAAGGCGGGACTATGGAACATAAGAGCTGTGAGATTCCTTCTACTGTGGTACTTTTTCAGTGGGTGCACTCTTTTTCTGAATAAATACATTCTATCCTTCATGAGAGGTGATCCAATGATACTAGGTATGAGACAAAATCATCTGCTTAGTACTTGTCACTTCTTTGTCTCTGTCATGAGTTTCAAATGTTCATTTTCCCTTATTTATTTTAAAGGAATATGTCAGATGTTTATGACGACACTATGTGGCTGCATTCAGATGTATTACCCTTGTGGTATGTATAAACCAGTTCAAAGATTAGTTCGCCCTCCCGGGTTTTACCGTCACATGGTTCTTGTAGGATGTACAAGGTAAGTTAATAGAAATAAACTTTCTTTTTACTACCTGGATGCTTTTGATTTACCTGACCTTCTGTTGTTTGGTTTTGCAGATTTGTTACTGTAGTACTAGGCTTAGTTTCTCTGAAATATATTGCTGTCAGTTTTACTGAAACAATTAAAAGTTCAGCTCCAATATTTACTGTTCTCATATCCAAAATTGTTCTTGGTGAGTATTTATCAGCATTTGTGTTCAAACAAAATTTAGTTGACACAAAAAAATTTAATCATGTTGAAATCTTGTTCTTTTTTTTTTCTTTCAGGTGAACATACTGGCCTTTATGTTAATCTATCTTTAGTCCCTGTCATGAGTGGTCTAGCATTGTGCTCTGCAAATGAGCTGAGTTTCAATACGCAGGGTTTTCTCTCAGCAATGGCCACAAATATAACTGAGTGGTAAGTTCTCCTCGGGAAGCTTGGACATTTGACTCAGACCCCATTGTCTGGGCATTTTAAAGTTTAATTTCATTTAAAGAATTTTTTTCATGTTTCTTTTAGTTTACAAAATGTTCTATCCAAAATGCTCATCAGTGGGGACAAGTTTAAATACACGTAAGTCTTTTATTATTCCATTTTTTTCAGTCTAGACTTAAGGTATTGACCGTTCTTGTACTAACTGTTAAATTACTTAATTAGGCCTGCAGAGCTCCAGTTTTATACTAGTATGGCAGCCATGGTTGTCCTGATCCCAGGCTCGTGGATCCTTGTTGACCTCAGCAATGTTCAGACCCCGAGTGACATATACCTTTGGGCAGCACTATTGTTCAATGGACTTTTGTTTCATTTTCAAAGTATAACCGCATATGTGCTCATGGATTATATATCCCCTGTAACTCACAGGTAAGCCTGCAAGAAATCATAATTAAATTAAGTTTCTTGTGTGTTACCTAACTCAAGTAATTTTTTGGTGTGTAGTGTGGCCAATACAGCAAAACGAGCATTCCTCATTTGGCTCTCTGTCTTGTTGTTTGGAAACCCAGTTACAATTTTGAGTGCAGTGGGTACATGCACTGTCATTTTGGGTGTCCTTCTGTACAATAAAGCTCAAGAAATAGATAGCAGTTATAGGCGTTTACCAGTAAGTGAAGGAACTGATGATCCTCATTATTATTCTTTTGAGATTTCATTATTGGTTCATTTTGTATCCTTAAAGTTCCATCCACTAGTGTTTTGTTCAAAACTGTTGTCATGATTTTGTGTGCAGGTTAGACATGCAAGTAGAGGCATGCGCTCATTGTAGAAGCCTCCATGTGTGTCTTTGGACCCCAGCTTTCCCATTGCCATATCTGTGCCATGCATGTAAGTACCCACAGTAATTGAATACACTCTAATTTTGATAAGCTTGTGTGCTAGAAATTGGTTTTTGCATCAAATACTAGAAATTTTGCAAAGAAATTTAAATATCAATCGGCTTATTCAAAAACTTTTTGTCCTGTTGTAGGTGAGCTCTTCAAAGATGTTATCTAATCAACTCAGGCAAGAGATGTAGGCTGTTTCATCACACATCATGACCCTCTATCGACAATACATTGCCCGTTATTGAGGATCAAGAAATAACTTGAAGCCACTATTGCCCAAAGGATTAGTACTATTAGCTAAAATGTTGTAGGTACTTCATTTCAGTCTTCATCTATTTTTGCCTGAAAAAAACACAGGGTCTATTCAAAACTGGAAATCAGGGAAAAGTAAAGAAATCTGAATATGAGCACTGAATCTGAACTGGAGAGAGTGAAGAAATCTGAGTAGGCAGGAAGAATGATGTTTCAGACCAAAAACTTATGTTGAAGGTGGTATTCTCTTGGATTCTTTTCCCTTCGCACACCTCATAAGAAGAAGGAGACCTAGAAAGTGAGAAATCAGTTTTGTCAGGAAATCAGGGAAACTTGTACTTGTAAGTTTTGGATAAACCCTAACATTAAATGAACCTGCCTTCTGTATTGTATATTGTACTTGTGGCTAAAGCATGATTTGTGGTGCCAACAAATTGTGATAAACTGTGATTTAGTGGCTGTGTCTGTATATTTTTTCCAATTTTCGTTTTCATTCTACGGATGACAGCCAAGCATTTATAAATTTTCTATTTGTTGTGTCATTGAGAGCCATTATGTTTGTCTATCTTCTAGATCTCATTTTATGAGCCAGTCACTGGAGATACTTACTTGATTGCATTTCTTAGTATCCCAGGTGTTCTCACATTACATAGATAAGTAAAAATGAAATCAAACTGGGATGTTTGTCTCAAGAGTCTGATCAAAATTTTAAGAAGGTCTAGTATAGTGAAGAATTGCGTTGTAAATGTTAATCCAATTAAAATTTTTAACAGCTTTATATCAAATGTTACTGTATTGGGAAAAAAAATCCCAGTATGTGGGTTGATTCATCAACAATTGTTTTTGTATCAATTTATAAATTATGTTCCCCTCCCCCCCTCCCTCCCCCTAATTTATGTGTGTGTGCGCATTTTTATGTGTGGACTAAGTTTAGGCTTCAAAAGCCTCATAAGTCTTATACATTCTACTAATGTAGAGTGGTCAGGGTTGCTCTGTTTTTTCTCCTCTATTAATTTTGGTCATTTGATGGCTGTTATTGAAAAAGGCAATACTATGTAGTTCTTTTTTTTTAAACTCAAGATCATGAACCTTACAATGCATTCCTGTTCTTTAGTTATAATTTTAGTTAAGGGTCGATTATGCAGAATCTTGTTTGTATACTTCGGATATTCAGATTTGCTTGTTTGTTCTTGGCAACTTTAGTGTTCCTGGAGCTAAAAGTGGAGCATCAGTATTTGAACAGTTCTACCAGTGTTTGAAGTTTTTGAAGTTAGTCATAGACTTCTGGACAGGAAGTTGATCACTCGCTTCATCACTGATTTTATTTATGTGACCTTGCTTATCTGCTTAGGAGAGGCTGTGGAAGAATAGTGCTTGTTTTGTAGTTGTACTAGTGTAATTATTTTTTAATCTAACCATGTTCTGGGGAATTGTGCACAATCTTTGTGGCATTCGATAAACACCTCATTCTGAGTTAATACCAACTATTTATAAATCTTTTTGCCCCCTAAAGGCATTTGTCTTATGAAAGATAAATGTTGTTTGTGTTCAATGCAAATAAAAATTTTCACACCTTAATCATAAATTATTTTATAAGGAGAATGCAGTGGCAAGGATCAAGTTAAAGAAGGGCGTTTCAAAAAACGCTAAAATACATAAAAAAAAATTAAAAGAAAGGTCATGTTAGTATAGTATTACGACAGCAAGGCACAGGAATAACTTCTGGCCTGAAAGAAGGGGTCCTCTTCGCAAGCCGTGTTTCTTGCAGAATTTCAATGTATATTAAAAATAATGGAGGAACACACCCCCTTTTTCCCCCACACAGTAAACTGAGGGCCCGCCACGCACCAGCAGCACCAGCCTGGCGGGCCGGGGCGCCCCACACAAACAAGGGAGAGAACAGGAATGACGCCCGCCCATCCATCTTCTCTCTCCCTCTCTCTCTCTCTCCCCAGGTGGGCCGAGAGCGATTAGACGCCTTCCCTTGACCTTGGACCGGCCGGTGGCAAGGTCGGGCATACGCGGCACAATATTCGACATTCGACGCTCACCCCGCGCCAGCATCAGCCAGCATGCCCTGCCCCTGGGCGAGTGCGAGTCTCGGCTCGGCTCACAAGAGGGCGCGGGGTGCCTGGGCTAGGCCTGGGTTGGGCTGGACGAAATGGAATACAAACGACCCGCTTATCCCGCACTAACAGCGTAGAGGCGTCGTGTCGTTGTATCATAGCCCGCCATTGTTGTTGTTGTTTTTCGCGCGCTGGCTCTTACACAACAATGCCTTGCGCGATGATTGGTGTGGGCCGGGACGCAGACGCAACAGGACAGGGCCACGGGCGTCCCGTTTTAGCAAGTTTTAGGGAGCAAGACACGTGGAGGCCGCCCCTTTGACACGTGACCACACCGAGCCGTGCACTCCGATGAAGACGCCTGTGTTCTCGCCTTTCCATGCTCTTCGAGATTCCTTTCCGAAAGGCCTTAAAATGTTCGTATTCTTTACACGACGTAGATTGGAGACAAGGATAGCTATAGCCGGCGCAGGGTCAGCGGGCACAGCCAGGCTCTGCGGACGCACTGCGTTGCGTGCTGGTGAGATGTCCAACCAACGGCAAGCGGACGGCGTCCAGGTGTGGTTCGCGTGCAGCCCGATTCCAAGCAATGTTTCGTCGCTATGTCTCCCTCGCACCACTCCGCGTCGCCGTGAGTGCGAGAGAGACAGAGCGACGTTAGTTCTGCTCCTCCCCTCCGCGCCTCGTTGCTCTGCCACGCCGCCACGCCGTTCCCGGACGGACCCTTAATGACATTCCGTGTTAAGGCAGGGGGGAGGGGGAGGGGGGCCTGCCGCTCTGCCGCTCTGCCCGGCCATGGGGCCCGGCCATGGGGCCCGGCCCTCCACAAAGGGCTGGTGCCACGGGCTGCCACGGACAGGGCGGCGGCCGCGTCGCAACGTTGACTGTCTTCTTGAACTTGCCACCGCCTGGGTCCTACTCCCAGGTGAAATTTGGATTATTTTGACCCCTTCCCTACCCTGCCCGGCAGCCCTGCCCCCAGCAAACAGATTCCGAGAATCATCGTTTTCGTCACTGTCTAACTCCCTCACGGGACTCTCCACGAGTGCGAGAGAGACGGCGACGACTCTCGGAATCAGTCTGCAGTCCATCGACCTGACCGACGTGATTCGAGGACCACCTGGGGCACCGAACTGGCGGTGGTGGCGGTGGTGGCGCACCACCGCGAGAAAGGGCGAGGCTCTTGGCCTTGCTCGGCGAGGCCCGGCCCGGCCCGGCCGGCCTGAACGCCCCGGCGGCTGAATTCACAAACACTACTGCTGCCTCCCTGGCCTGGGGGGTTGCCGCAGCGCCCGCTCACAGTAGTATGCCTTGTTGACAATTGACGGAGAAATTAGTGGCCGGGCTCCGGCGCTGCGGGGGCGGGGGCGGGGGCGGGGGCAGGGGCGGGGGTGGAGCAGTGCGGCTCTGTATCTCCATCCATCTTGAGCGCGTTAGCGCCGGGCTGCAGGGGCTGTCCCTGGAACCGCACAGGGCCTTAAGGGGCCCTGCAGCGGGGCGTGGCGGGCCGGGGGTAGCGGTAGCGGGGCGGGTCCGAGACGAAAGAGAAATGACAGAGAGCGGAGGGGCGGCGGCCTGGCTTGGTTTGGGACACTTGGGCCCCTCGGGTCGATTGTCCTACACCTGCCCCCTCGGTCCTCGGTGCCCCCCTCGTCCACCACACCCTACCTGTCCGGCCGCCCCTCCACACACACTCACTCACTCACACACACAACGCCGAGTGGCGTGTCAGTCACGGCGAGGATAGAGGGCTTATTTACTTCGGCCGGAATGGATTTTCCTTTTCCGTCGCTTCCCTCCGCAGCGTGTGTCAATTTGTCGGCTGACGGCGCCAACGCCGCCAAGCCCGCGGGCTGAATCCGAACACCGTTCTCCTCGCGGTCTCTCTCGCACTCGAGCGGCCCCGCGGAGGAGTGAGAGAGAGAGAGAGAGAGACAAGAGCGACATGTCCAGAATGGCTGGCCAAGCCGCGCGGCGCTTCACACGTGGCGCGGGGAGCGTGGAGGGCGGTGGGGAACTCGCGACCTATGTGATTCGTCTGCCCTGCCCCGCTGATGATGGGAAGCGTTCGGAGAGGCCTCGACAAAATGCCACAAAGACCATCAAAGAGGGCGAGAGCGCGTCGAAGCCACGTGCGGAGGACGCCAGGCTCGAGGGTCTGGCTTGCCTGGCTGCCTGGCGAGGAGGGCGACGCAGATTCAAATCAAACAGCCTTCTGGGCCCGTCCATAAATTACCTCGGGCTTTACCGCGGCTCCAGGCCGCCCCGGGCCGCTCCAGGCACTGCTGGAGTCGTGATGAATAGTAGAGGCGATGTGTATAAATATTCCGGCAGCGCGCTGCGCTGGCTGCGTCGGGCGTGGCCACCGTCACTATGAATCTATGCACGGTGGCCTTTGATTTACGCGTCGATTGCCGCCTCCCCCCCCCCTCTCTCTCTCTCCTGCCACCCCCGCGTGTATAATTCTGGGCCAGCAGACGACGCGCGACGCCTGTGGTGACCAGGCAGGCAACGAACGCCTGCGAGCCGCGAGGTAGGCCGCCCGGCGCACACGCCTGTGCGACGGGCCTGCCCAGCCGCCGCGTGACAGGCGCGCTGCCGCCATGGCTGGGGGACTGACTGTTTGCTAGGAAACTGATTGCCGGGGACTCACGGACTCATTGGCGCAGCGCGTAGCGCGTGGCCCGGGGCGGAAAAGGGCGGACCGTGGTCCGGGTGGGAGTGACCAGAGTGACTAACAGCAGCAACAGCCTCCCACTTGCGTGCACGCTCGCCAAATTCGTATTTACGATTAGCATGCCCCAGCGGCGAAGCGGCCAAGCGGCGCCCCGCTACAATAATAGAGGTATTATTTTCGCTCTCTCTTTTTTTTGCGCCTCTCTTTCTCTCTCGCTTTATTTTCGTTGTTTTTTCTTCCTTTTTTCTCTCTTCCCGGGCCCGTGAAAGGTAGTTATGCCTTTCATACTCCGTGCCCTGCGGCCCGAGGCCCGCGCCGGGCGGGGCAGGGCGGGCTGGCCGGCAGGCTGGCGAGCTGGCGATGCGAGGCCCGAGGGAGGCCGGCCGGGCCGGGCCGGGCCGGCATGGGGATGATGTTCGCGCGGAGCCAACACCGCATCGGCACTTGGGGCATTGTCCGAATAAGAATTTCACCGTAAATTACAAAATTAGACGGTTTTAGAGTGCGGAGGGAGAGAACAACGCGACAAAAGCCGTCGACGGCTCTCCCCCTCTCTCTTTCCCTCTCCTATTTTGGCGAGCCTACGGCCGCTTCCTAACACCGCGCTGTGCATTTCGTCGCAGTAAATGGCCTCTCCGCCGTCCAGTTTAAATTCATCGCTCTCTCTCTCTCTCTCTCTCTCTTGCTTCTCCATCTTTATTCCTCGTCCCCCGGCCACCCTCGTTTCTTTGCACCTTTTCTTTTCACCCCCCCCCCCGCCCCTCCTTTCACTTTGGTGGACGTCGAAGGGAAAGGGTCGGGGGAGGGGGAGGGGAGGAGAGGGGAGGGGGGAGGGGGCGTGAATTGCCATCACAGTGTAACCCTCCCCCGCCCCCCTCCCCCGCTGCTGCAGTGAGGGCGGTTAACTGGTATTAGCGGTAGGCGAGGGGGAGGGGGCGTCTCTCGTGTTATTTGACGTCATGCTCCACCAGTCGCCTGTCCACGGCCACAGCGCTCCTGTCGACGTTGGAGTCGCTTTTTAGTAAAGGTGCGCTACTGCGACTTTGCAGGAACCCGAGTATGTATGTTTTTTTTTTCTTTTTTTTAAGGAAGAGAGCCCAACGTACCCCTAAATTATTTTCTGTCCTCCTCAATTTTGGAACAAGTTGAGGGTGGCTGACGCGCGTTTTCTCCTTGTTCGTCTATTTTGCGCACCTCGCCGTCGATCCCCAGAGAGCCCTCCCGCTGAGGCTGCGCGGTGAGGCGCTGTGGGGCGTCGCCTCTCTCTCTTTCTCTCTCTCTCTCTCTCTCTCTCTCTCTCTCTCTCTCTCTCTCTCTCTCTTTCTCACTCCCCCCTCCCTCTCTCAAGATCTCCTCCTCGTCCGAGGCTAACCTCGTCTCGTCTGCCTCGTCAGGCCGCACCAACCAAGTCGCTCTAATTTCAGCGGGGCTGCTTAATTTTTCACGTCACAAACTTCTCGGAATTCATTCCGACTTTGGCCGGGGTGCCCATCCCCGTGCGTCACGCACGCTCCACGCACGCTCCACGCACGCTCCACGCACGTGCACCGCAGCAGGCTGCCATGACGACCGCGGCCTGAGCGTGAGCAACGCTCAAGGCGGACCGGGCCACCCAAAGCCCCGAGCCAGCACGGCCACCAAATGTGCCTTTGTAATGAGAGTTAGGGATGGACGGGCTGGGTGCAGACAGACAGAACGACAGACAGACAGACATGCGGACGCTCGCATGCCAATCCAGGGGGGGGGGTCGAACGAACGTCCTCGCCGAGTGGAGTCACGTAAACAGCGGCAACGCGAGGAATGCAAGGGAGGGAGGGGCGGCGGGCGACGTCCAC